GTTGGACAGTATCACTGAAGCTACCAACATGAATTTGACCCAACTCTGTGAGGCAGTGGAAGGCAGGAGGGCCTGGCGTACTCTGGTCCATGGGGTCACGAAGAGTCAGAGACGACTTAACAACTAAACAACAAAATTGTAGGACTCCTGGCCTTACCTGAGATCAGCACTAGGAGAAGATCTTCTGCTGTCAGGCCTTCAGCTAAATGCTTGATGGCGCTAGCCGCCTCCAGAGCTGCTCTGTCAGGAATGTTGTTCTCTGCTCCTTCCATGACTTGAATGCAGCTCTGGGGCTTCAGCAACATCTCTCTATGTGAATGAAAAAGGGTGATCAAATTGTCATCTGGACCATGCTTCACCTACCACTGAACAGCCCTATGAAGGAAGATTCACAGGACAGTGGAATTTGCTCCCTTCTTAACTAACAAAGGAGCCAACAGGTTTCATAGCCCAACAGGCTGATAGATGTTTAGCTCAATGGTCAGATACATCCATACCGTACAAGAACTGATTGTCAGGTATAAATGGAAGGAAACATGGTCTGTTTCCAAGTGAATAATGACAATTAAAACTATGGGGAAAATGTTAACACCAAACCAGAGCTATTACCTTCTGGATAAGAACTTCCAGATTTCCTCAGCCATCATTGCCAACAGCTGCTGGTTATGTCAGCTGGAGGATTAGGGAAAATATATAGTGGACTCTCAACTTGCACGCGGCTCCACTTACAAACGTACGGACTTTTCCAGCCACAAAATTTTGCGTTGACTTGATGTTAATTTTCATTGGAATATGCTTTTGCTTACCTGAAAGAGTCCACTTTTATTGAAAAAAGTAAACTGAGCCCTGGATATAGCTTCAAGATCTTCTTGGCTTAAATTCTTTAATAAACTTGTCCCCTGCCTCCCCCTTCCAGTCCGTAGGCTGCTGATCGTGCCTCTGGATGTATTCCATGGCTTCTCTGCCACCATGGGGGGGCACCTCAGAGGTTCCCCCCCCCACCGAAAGGCCTCTAGCAGCAGCGAGGAACCCCTCGGTGGTCTCGGGCTGCAGGGGACCCCTGGAAGGCTCTGGACCAGTAAGGTGTATTTATTTTCATTTTTTTGTGGGGGGGTATTTTTTTTCTTAGGTCGGATACAGATTAATGGGTTTTCAATGCATTCCTATGGGAAATGGACCCTCGACCTACGGACTTTTCAACCTGCAGCCACCATTCCAATACAGATTAATTCCGTAAGTCGAGGGTCCACTGTATTCTGCATCCCACCCCCTAAAAAATTCCAAGCTGTGCACTAGATTGGGGACGTATGCATACATTTAACAACCACAACAACACAAAACTAGGGACAATTACTCTGTTATTACAGTAAAGATACTGTTTACAGGGACAAAGAATTCCATTGCACTTCACCTCCATCATGGATCCCTTAGGGAATGCTGTAATATGCAACTCCTATGCAGAGAGATTAACTTATGTTCAAACCCCTCCAGATAGGGAAAGCCACCAGCAGTTGAAGCAGGTTTGAGGGTGGTTACTCTATAATACTTGGGTTTGGATGGCAGATAGTTTTGGCTGAAAAATTGAAGACTGGCTTCTGTTGTGCATGGGCAAGAGTGAAATTATATTGAGGTCAAGTCTTTAAAGGAGTTTGGAGGAAACCTTAACCCTGCTCTCAAGGCCAGTTCTGTATGTAATCACCTTACAGCAGCCCCCCCCCATGCCCTCACCTCATTCCTCGGTGCCGCAGAGTTTCTTGGATGCCTTGAGGAACACTAATTACTCCCCGAACAAGGTGGTCTCCAAGGATCTCCTCTGCCGCTGCTGCCATGCCCAGCACAGCCTTTCCAAAGCCAACCAGATACAAGTTCTTCTTCAGTTCAAAAGGCTGGCCGCGCACCACAAGCCGAGGGTGTCCTTTGGTCTCTAGCACCAGGGCCTTCTTCAGCATGGGTCCTGGCAGGACCGTGCCAACGGCGCTGCGGAACAAATGCAGCCCATGTTCCTTGAGGGCCATTTGGTGAGCGGATGCTCCCCCAGTGGAATGTGAAGTGGGTTGCCAGCAGGCTCTGCCAATGACTGGCAAGCTCTTGCGGGTGCAGACCACTGCCTGAATCATGGCCCAGCCATGGCGTGCCTGCAATAAGGGAGAAGCAGAACAGGAGTCATTTTTCAAAATGAATGGGTAAAAAAGAGACTGGGGGTATGTGGTGGGTTTCTTTCCATTCCCCACATGTCTGTCATACTAAAACACAGCCTGTAATGCAGACTGTTTTCTTGCCATGGCTTCCTGCAGTACAGATTCGTCGCTCTCCCAGGAAAAGTCCAGAGGTCTTCTCATCCAAGCAGTCAGATGGCTCAAATGAGGAGGTTAATCATTTATAGACCAGAGCTTGCTCAAAAATCAACTGCTTTCCATTAGGGAACCCCTCTACCTCACAAAGGGGGGTCGCTACGTCACTCTAAAGCACTCTTCTTTTCCACTGCCACCAACCATTCCCTCAAATAAGTAGCTTCAGGCCAAAATATGATTCAAAATAAAAACTCAGGTTTATTGGGTACAAATAAAAGGAATGGTAAATCACTTATAATTAAACAATAATTCAATCACTATAATAAAGGCACTAGCATACACAGACTCTCACAATATATCACAGATCTCCTAACTCCTCTCCAAACCCTATCCAAGCCCTATCCAAGCCCTATCAGTCCCTATCTGAAATCTCTCACACACATTCACTCCCATTTATACAACAGCTCCACCCCTTATGTCCCACCCTCCGTCACACCATTGGTAGATGACTAACAGCTTTAGCAGTGACGGACAGGTGAGGTCATAGCTGTATGTAACACTTTCCATTAGGGAACTGGACAAACCAGAAGATGGATAAAACAAACCTTTAGAACAGCCGAATATGCCAAACTACCTAACCTACCATCCTGAAAGCATAAGGATATAACCCTAGTGACAGATTTTCAGACAGCAAGGCTCCAAAAAAGAACATACTGTTTGGATAGGATTACAAAATAAAGAAATCCTAGTGACTAGCTGAGGGTAGAAAGGATAGTGTGGCTGGGCAGCACAAGCACAGTGGGCCAAACGGAAGCTATCATGTTAGCACTTAACGTGAGAAGACAAGACTTACTGGAAAACACAAGAACGCACAGAAAAGTTGAAAGAAGCAGGAAAAGAGAAAGACCTAACATGGGATTGACTGATTCAATAAGGAAAGCCACAACCTTCAGTTTGCAAGACGAGAATAAGGCTGTTCATGAGCAGACATTCTGGAGGTCATTCATTCTGGAGATTCTTGCTCTTCCATCACACTGGGCTTAAACCTCCAAATATAAGAGGTCTGCTTAACTATTCTCAGTAGCATTTGTCACCACCAGTGAACCCTGAATGGCTCTTAATGATGACCATTAAGATATCTGTTGCCCCTAGGTCTGCTAATGACCCTTAATGACCACAGATAGGACCATCCCATAGTAGACCTTTTGCTTCAATAACCGTTTATATTTCCTTTCTGTGTTCATATAAATGTGTGTACACCTTCATGTGTCTGAGGTAGTCAGCTACAGTTGATGAAGCTTATGCCTAGCAAGAACATGTCTTTAAGATGCCATATGACTCTTACATTGTTTCTGATAAACGGGGTTTCTCCATCATATACTGACCCCATATGCTGTTACAGGAGCTGCAGTTGAAAACTGTTTACAAATTTCAGTTAACAAGGACCAAATAGCTCAACATCTTTTTGAACAAGCTGGGAGATGCATGTTTAACCCATGTTATGATAATTGCTCTGCCCATTTTGTGCATTCCCAATGTAAGTAGCACATCTCTAACTGCAATATATGGTTTAGATCGCGTAATATGTTATTTTTACCTTAAGTTTTCTTAGAAAGTTGTGTTCCTCATAAGCATTTATCCTGCCATGACCCTTCTATCACAGCTTTCAAGAACCATTTTCTTAGCTTTCTGTGAACAATGTGATGCATCTTATGGTCATAAGTTTATGACTAGAAGCTTGTAGATCCAGGAACCACCTGTACTTTCTAGGTGAATGTGGACAACTAGGAAGTGAAAACCTTTGCTCTTCCCTTCCACTCTAAAACAGATACATTTATCCTTTGTTTACTTGATCTAAAATCACTTTAAGGACCTTTTCATCCTGACCTTCATTTGCTAAATACTGTACCATTGAAATTCAAGGTTCTGTATTGTATGCAGGCCTCCAGAGACCGGCTCAGTATTTCTCTAGTGCCTTCCTGTACTAAACTGGGTTAAATTCCCTTCCTCTATTTTTTTTTAAAACTCTGCTACCAGGAAGAGTCCGGCAGTCCAGAGCTAAAGGATGGTCTACTGAACAGTGATTTCTTTCTATATTTAGAGCAAAATAAAAACTCTCTTGCTGCAAGCTGAAACTCTGCTGATGTTCATGACTGAACTGTTCCACTTTTGTCCAACACAGTGCACAATGTGCCATGCACGCACAATGCTTTTCGCATCCTCTTATTTCTACATCCATAAAATATATGTATATATATGTGAGCCCATGGACATGTATGAGCAATAACATTCGGGAGTACATTACTGTCGGTTCCTGCCTGAGCAATGAGACAGTCATTCCAGCAAGTCCAGAGTTGAGCATAATCGATCGTCAGAGCTGAATTTAAGTTTTCTTTGAGCAGCTTTTGGAATGCTGGCAAAGAGTTTCAATGGTCACCCCAAGAAACAACTGTTTTTCTGTTTGTTCATTTTCAGCTTTGAAACCTCTGTTTAGAGAATGGACCCAGAAACCATCATTAATCTTTTGGAAAGATCTGCTGAGAATTGCTTTTTCCATAACATGATTGCTCAGGGACTGTGAAGGGCTTAGATTAATCTTCTTTAAATGAAAACTTCATAAGCTACCATTAATGAATACCAGTCCTAATCTGCATATTAATTTAAATACATCATCATGATATTTTTTTTCTTCTGAAGATTCACTGTGACTCTGTCTCAAGCTCCAATATATGAGGATGGAGATCTTTCCTAATTCCTCATTAAATCCACTGGGGTTGTTGTAAATCCATGCTGCAAAGAGGCATTCTAATTAATTATGAATCAACATGCAATCACATATGCATATACTGTATAATACATAATATAAATGATAGCATTCATTGTGCCTGAAATAACAGCTGCAAAATTGAAGAAATTACAAATTCAATAAGGAACAAGGATATAGCCACCAATCTGTCCAATATCTTGTTTGGAATAATCTCTAACACCCATACTGAAAAACTGGCCTCCAAAACAGGGAGGAGGGACATTTTGCTCTTCAGGACCACTGACACCAAGGAAAAATCAACAGGGGACCAGAGATGTTGGGTGTATACAGAATCCAGAGCAAACAGTGAGTTTATGATAGGATGTCCCAGAATCTTCTCTGGCCCTCAGAGCTCTGCCAGTTTATAGAAGAACGTTTCCAAGCATGCTGGCTCCTGGATGATCTGCCAGCAAATAAAGAAAGTGACCTTCAATGCAAATCCCACAACAGTGTGCAGGTCAAACGGGTAGCAGAGAGGAGCAAGGGTATCCATTTACATACTATTTTATGGATTCCAACATGGCTTTTTCATGGTTTTTTTTTTAAATCTTTCTGATGTGCCTTTTCAGGACAAAATCAAGAAAGTTTAGACAGGGTCTCTCAACCAGATTTCTCAGTGACTGTCTTGATTTCATTGAGAAATAGTTTAAATTATATGCAGCGTGGCATGCGATCTATAATTTGATTTCTGAATGCAGATTACTATTTTGTTTTTCTTTTAAAGACTTTGGTGATATATAGAGTGTGAAACATGATATGCCAAAGATAGATTCAGAAATGAGGCACCAAAGACATGTGAATGGGAGGGCCTAAGCTTGTGGGAAGTCATCCTCATCACTTTTTCTGCTTCATCTAGGTTCCAGCGACGGGATGCCAGGAGGCTATTACAGAATCACAGAACCCTGGAGTTGGAAGACACTGTAAGACCATCATATACAACCCCCTGCTCAATACAGGAATCCAAATCAAAATATGCCTAACAGATGGTTGTCTAATATTCTCTTGAATGCCTCTAGCACTGGAGATTTCACCACCTAACCAAAGTAATTGGTACCATTGTTGTACTGCTCTAACAGTTAGGAGGTTTTTCGTGATATTCAACCCAAATCTGGCCATCTGTAACTTGTGTCCAGTATTACACATACTGCTCTCTGGGATGACTGAGAACAGATCCTATCCATCCCTGTATGACAATCTTTCAAGTATTTATAGAATGCTATCATATCTTCCCTCAGTCTTTTTTTTTCCCCTCAAGACTAAAAATTGCCAGTTCTTGCAGTCTTTCCTCATAGACTTTGGTTTCTGGTCTCCTGATCAACTTTGTTGCCCTCCTCTGAGTTTGTTCCAGTTTGTTAACATCCTTCTTAATGTGCAGTGCCCAGAGCCAGTCACAGTGCTCTAGATGAGGCCTAACCAGTGCCAAATAGAGGGGGATTAGTACTCCACAGGATTTGGAAACTATACTTGTTTCATGCAGCCTAAAACAGCATTTGCCTTTTTTGCAGAGATATCACACTGTTGCTTCATATTCAGCTTGTGATCTGCAACAAATCCAAGATCAGCAATCTAAAAGCACTAAAAACATCTACAGTGGTGCCTCAACTTACGAACATCCTGACATATGACTATTTCGAGTTACGGCCAGAAAAAGGCAGGGGGAAAAGGCAGGGAATTCAAATTGCTAACTGTTGGTGGCAAAGAGGGTAAGACCCTTTCAGAAGGGTCTTGCACAGTTCGTTTGCTTTTTGCCTTGCCTTTTTTATTTTTATTTTTGCATTTCCGAAGGGTCTTGCATGATTTGTTTGCTTTTCCTTCCCCCTCCCCTTCGGCCAGAATGGATTAATCACATTCCCAATGGGTCTTGCAGTGGTTTTGTTCTGAGTTGTTTTTTGTTTTGGTGATTTTTTTTCCCTTTGGCCAGAATGGATTAATTGCATTTCAATACATTCCTATGGGAAATGGTGCTTCAACTTATGATCGTTTTGAGCTACGACCGGAGTTCCAGAACCAATTGAGGCACCACTATATTATAACTACA